TTCGAAATGAGCACCACCAACTATTCCATACACCAAACCCTAGAGTAATAAATCAGGTTGGTTGTGACCTTGGTCTGACTTTCATACCTGACCTTAGGTCAATATAATTTGCTCATTCAATATTTGTGTCGCCTAAGAAAGCATCTCAGAGATGTATGGCTTCGTCAAACATTCCGTTATTGTATCAGATTGGACGACTCCCTAGAAATTGCCTTCACTGAAACCATGTTCTGACTTTGACCTGTCATAGGTCAACGACCTTCCAAGACACATCTAATTTTTATGTCAAACGATCTGCTATTCAATTGTCTACAGCCGTGCAAAATTTGGCGCGGCTACGCCGCGCCGTTCGGAAACCATTCTGGAAAAACCTTCAGGGGGGAGTGGTCAATTTACCCCCCCCCCCTCGAGCTCGTGTTAAGACCACCCTTTCTCTAGTCGTGATTATAGACTATTTCAGCATCTTGACTAGGCCCTAAGCTGTGGAACCACGTACTGATTTCAAACTTTGGAAGAATAATTTACATCTCTCTGCATCAAAAACCATCGTTACGAACATCATCCGCAAGTATTTCGTGAATACGCATTAGCGTTACCAACATATTTGAAGACATTGCAATTTTTCCCTGCATGTATGTAACTCACTTCATACTCAACCTTCTTCATGCTCCATTATCACGCTCCGATATAGTTAAGTCATGCACATGTACCCAAATTCACGGCGCTGACTCCGGGAGTTCTCCCAGCAACAAGCTCCGCTTAGCTGGGTGGACTCCCTGGACATCCAGTTCAAAAACCAGCACGAAAACGACCAGGTAATTGCCCCTCCGACTTGTGTGACTGTGCAACCCTTAATAACACTATGAGTGGGTGGTAGTAGCTTATTGGGTGGTTCTAGCGGGCAGTCATTAGCTGACTTTGGTTATGATTTCTTTAAACCTCCTCATGCATTATTTGTCTTTGCCTATTGCATAACACAATTCCTGCCAGGTCTGCCCCACCTCTTCGCCTGCTTCTTTATGTGTGTTTACTCTTACAGCTCCTACCTGGGAGCACTGCCGCCTGATTTTATGTTTTCTGGTGTTAACCTACGGGCTATTGCGTCGCTGGGATAGATTGAGGGCACTCCTGGTGACCTGTTATTAGGTAACAGTGTAGAAACAGCCGTATGGCATCTTGCGTTAGACGATATAATTAATGAGGACATTCAGTGGGCTTTTCGCCTCACCCACCACCAACGCCTTTCGAGACGGAACACTTTTACTAACTTAACCATGTGGAGTGGGTTGATATTGCGGAAGGAACTCGAATCCAAAATCGCCATGTCCAGAGCCGAGCACCCTAACCAATATACCGTCACCACCCCGACAGCGCGATCGGTTCCCCGCTGGTGAGTGGTGGCTCGTCACATCACTCAGTAAGCGGGGTGTCGTGGTGTACAGGCCACTCAGTGAGCATGGTGACGTGATTTACACACCACTCAGCGATCAGGCTGGCGTGGTGTACACACTATTCAGTGATCATGGTGGCGTGGTGCACACACTACTCAGTGATCAAGGTGGCGTGGCGTACGCATCATACAGTGATCAGGGTGGCATGGTGTACACACCACTCAGCGATCAGGGTGGCGTGGTGTACACACTACTCAGCGATCAGGGTGGTATGGTGTACACACCACTCAGTGATCATGGTGGCGTGGTGAACACACCACTCAGCCATCAGGGTGGCGTGATGTACAGCGATCATGGTGGCATGATTGCATGTGTTTCTTGATTAATGGACGCTGGATCGGTAAATCAATTCATCTCATTCTCTCAGCACGTAATGCAGCAGGCCAGCCCACAGCTGAGTGGCTGACGTAGGGCTCAGGGGAAAAACTTGTAATTGCGCACGAAGAGTGCCGGGATATCGATCAGTGTGTGAAGCCCAGGCGTTCTATCCTTGACACACGTACGATTGTATTTTGTTGTGACGAATGCTCTAAATGCGGTGAATTTTATTATCGCGCTGACCATGCGATATGTACATATGCAGCGGTTGAGTGGAACTAAAAAAATTGCTCTAGATGGCCTCCGACCATAAATCAAATAATTCGTCGACGCCAAAGCATGATAATCTTTAGAAACCAGAGTCAAAAACAATAACTCACCGAAAATGACAACATTCTTCAGGTGTAGAAAGGCTTGTCCCCTGAATGTCATGCACGAGGGCGGGAGTGTAACTGTACACGCGGCTTCCGCCGCCGGTTCGGGCCAGCGTAACCTGCCCGCCGCGGCCTCCGTCCCCGGTCCGGACTGGTCGTAGCCTGCTCGCCGCGGCCTCCGTCCCCGGTCCGGACTGGCGTAGCCTGCCGACTGTGTGTTCCGTCCCCGCGCGGCGACGTGCGGCGACGCTGGGATGGCCAGGGGCCGAGCAGGTATTTAGACAGGTTTGATAGGCATCCTACACCCGACTAAGATGAAAATAAGACCGTACAGAGGTAGCTTGGTTTTGTTCGGAAAATCTCTGCGTGTGTCTATATGTGACACATGCTTTTATGTGTTCAGTGTGCAAAACTAATTATAAACTAGTCCTTACGTGGAAAATCGACAGCTGTCCACAATGTGCGGAGGACGATAGTTTTCCGATCAGAAAATAAGGACCTGGAGATGATGTAAATAAGGACCTGGAGATGATGTAAATAAGGACCTGGAATCTACGTCTGTCAGCAATCTGCAAAGGTCGACGGTCTCCCGATCAGAAGGGACCTGGAAATAAAGTGTCCGCCGAAATAGCGGGAATTTCTGCGACGGGGGGGGGGGGGGGGGGAAGGGCACCAAGTTCCATGTGGCACCTTACATTGGGGCGTGTCCCTCCTTCAGCGAATTTGGGATCTGTCCCTATTGATGCGCCTAAAATAAGTGTGGAGCGTTTCGTCGCTTGCGCTGGGGCTGTAAGGCATTCATGGTTTTGTCAGTGACTTGTGCAGCACGAAGGCCGACTGCAAAGACTCGCTCGAACTTTAGCATTTATCCACCGTGATCGAAGCACAATGGTGTCTCATTTCACAAACACTGAAATTAACCTTTTGAGCTAAATAACCATACGTTTGAGACTTTTCGAGCACATAGAAACACTGAGCTTGAGTAAAAGTGTATTTCTATTTTGAGTATTTTAAAGGACAAATTTGAGTACTTTTTATAATCTCAATATTTTTAAAGAATTTGGAAGTTTTGGGGCCAAGTTGTTTTGTCAAGTTTTGGTGCCACATTGTGGAGGTCCAGCCCAACCTTGAGGGAGCCCAGCCCGACATGGGAGAGCTCAACATTGCGGGGCCACTGGCTGTGAAGTGATTCCACTCCTGGTCATGTAAACGACTTTGGAGATCCATCTCCACAAATGGCTGGTGTGGAGGCTCCTGGCGGCTCAGAAGTCCACCAGTTGGAACTGGGACCTGGCCCCGTCTGTGAGGGATCGCACCCGGTTACCAGAATAGATTCGATGGGCCTGACCGAGATGAATCCAGTTTGGTTAACGAGTCCGGGTGTGGTGGATGCATGGCCTGGGAATCCTTTTTCGGCACTTATTTTCTGCATTCTGCGTGTAGCTTGACATCGAATGATGCAAATCCCATGGCCAAACGATGGCCAACAACAGACAATTTGGTGACGGGTCGCAGTCATTTATGCTTCAGGCTAAAGGGGTTTAACGCAAACCCTGCCTTTTGAAGCGAATGCACGCTACATAACCACTGTACTCGTAAGGCCGTTTATCCAGACGAAGCTAACGCCACTATCTAAAGTACGACTAGAATAACCGTTCACATTGGGTGTGTGGGAAAAGGCTGATAACTCCAGCACTATCGTCTTGCAATGACTCCAGCCGTCTGGAGTCGTCCTAGACAAACACGGCATCTTCACTACGCGGCTATGTAGCGAGTCTCCACTTTTTTAGTGATTGCTTTGATATGGAATTGAGCGGCGATTCTGCAAATCGAGGTTTCCAACGAATCTAAGGTGTCATAGAGATGGGAAATTGCATTTTTGGGTTATAACAGCGTAGTAATCCAATGCAAGTGCCAGTAATTCAACTTTCGTTTACTTCACCATTTAGGAAATTGATTTCTCGGTATGGTATCACCTCAGATCGAAAAAGCAATGGTTGCAAAAATATCATCGCTTTACTTAGCAAATTTCCTCATTATGTAATTCCCTAACGGCACCATCGACAGAAAACAGCCGGGCGCAGCGACGCTAACTTCAGAACCGCGATCCGCTCACTGAGATAACTCCACAGGCCGAGTCTTGTCCAGATCGGCGATGGCCGCCTGCACTCGACTGGCGAGCTGGCGCGGAATGTCCCCCGCCGTCCCAGGTTCCAATGTCTCCCCTCCCTTCACTTGCTCGCGCGCCGGGCGCAACATTCGGACCGATAAATTTGGCGATTTTGATAATCTTTAGTGGGATTTAAAGCGAAAAGGATCCTGGTTTTACAAAATGCTCACGACTGCGACACCCGCACGAGCCGTACAATCAAGCCCAAATGAGCAGTCACAGTCCAGTCCAGATGAGCAGCCACCATCCAGCCCAGATGAGCAGCTAAAACCTAGTCCAGATCAGCAGCAGCCATCCAGCCCACATAAGCAGTAGCCATCCAGCCCAGGTCAGCAGCTAAAATCCAGCCCAGATCAGCGGCCTCAACCCAGCCCAGCTCAGCAGCTACCGAGTGCGGTGTGCGAGTCACATTCACAGCCGAAAAGCCCGGGTTTTCCAGACCTTTTCGACTGTGACACCCGCAAGAGCCGCAATTGCCAGCCGCCCGTGTGGCGATTCCGCGCGCGAGCGAGCTGATCGGCCGGGCTGAATGACGCGTTCAAGGTCAAATTTTACAGCGCAGAAAAAAGTAATGGTTTGAAGAGGACCACTTAACCAACTCAGCCGGAGCTTCGTTCCGGTTCGCTGCATGAACAAGTCCTTACGCCATCATGACCATTTTGTCTATTTCAGCAAAATACTCGCACGCGATCACCAACATCGCTGTTTTGTATACGCAACGTACGGGCAACAGTGACGCAACGGGCAATACATATCACAGGCGTATTTGAACGATACGGATACGTAAAAATACACGGAACTCCCAGGAACAAGCTTGATGTCGACAGCGCAACACGGCCGGAGGAAGTGCACCAATCCCATGCCACCATTCCCTAGTAACCGTCAAAATCCCTCATCGAAGCACCTGCAGGCCACCAGCACCGCGGTCGAGCAATGCGGCGGCCCTTTCTCCAGCCGGCACGAGACCCGTTCGCCACAAAAATCCCCGCGATCGTCCTGAGCGGACCGCTGCCGGTGCCACTCTGGCCTGCACTGCAACAATTCAACCGCCAGAGCCTCGCCGCGCCCCGAGTGGTGCAACACGCGCCGGGCGCAGCTCCAACACCGCCCGACGCAACGTGGACGCGGGACTGCCGGCCGCCTCTTGCCTCTCGTCGTCACCTCCACCCTCCTGGTAGCTGGGCCCTCCACCCAGCTACGCCGTCTGCCGATCCTCTGCCGCCGTCGGCGGGGTCCGGCTGCCCGCCCCAGCCGGCCGGCCGACCGGCGGTCACCGGTGCTGGCGGCAGTACTCCCAGACCAGCAGCGCGCCGGCCACGTGCACGTTCAGCGAACGCACCAGACCGCGCTGCGGGATCTCCAGACACACGTCCAGCAGCTGCAGCAGCTCAACCGGGATGCCCTCCTTTTCGTTCCTGCGGCGGCGAAGCGCCGGCAGAGTCGGAGGTTATCAAGGGTCACCGGGCAGGTTGGAGGTGAGCGAGGGTCAGTGGACGGGTCGGAAGTCAACTAGTCGGTGGGCGGGTCGGAGATAAGCGGGTCAGCGAGCGGGTCGCAGGTCAGCGAGTTAGTGGGCGAGTCGGAGGTGGGCGAGGACCAGTGAGCGGGTCGGAGGTCAGCGAGGGTCAGTGGATAGGGTCGGAGGTGAACAAGGGCCAGTGGGCGGGTCAGATGTGTCGCCGCGGGCCTATCGGGGGTCAGGTGTATGTGTAGCGACGAATGGACGCCCCAGTGGGCATAGGCACCGGGTGCTAAAAGTGACAGAGGTCATGTGTCGGACTGGATAGGGACATCACACCGACTAAAGGCATCATAGTCCCTATGTCCAGGATGCAGCACGAATCAAGGACTGAAAGTATCAAAACAACGAGCGCACCCCACAACACACACACACGCACACGCACACGCACACGCACACGCACACGCACACGCACACGCACACACACACACACACACACACACACACACACACACACACACACACACACACACACACACACACACACACACACAACTTTTGATGCATTTAATGACGAAAAATAAGAAACACGCTCTCTTATATATGCGTGAGCAACATCTACAGAAATCAAACTACAAATACTGGAAATCGTTGACAACAATTTCTCTCGGCTACTGCGCAATACGTAAAAGCGTGTTTACCAGAGGCAAACCATGGCCGCAAAAACCGATTGCACGCTTTCAAGCATGAGGCTATAAGCAAACTCAAGGCCAAATCTGGTGAGTCACCTACGTACACCAGCCGTTCCGTCCTTCCGTTACCACCTCCCCCCCCCCCCCTCCCCCCTTCACCGGACAGCAATGCTTCCACTACCCCGCCCGCCACCCGCCTGCCACCAGCCATCAGCGCGCTCACCCGAGCAGCAGGAGCGTCTTCACGGGGAACTGATACTCCGCGACTGGCACGCTACCCGATGTCTGCTCCACCCCCACCAGGGTGTAGCCCGCCGAGCGCATCTGCTGCAGGTACGACGGCAGCTGGTGCGGCTTGACCTGGGGGTGGGCGCCACCGGAGGCGTCACGGAGCGGGCACGGCGCTGCCTGGGTCGGCACTGATCCGGGACGGGCGTCACCGGCGTCAGTACCAGAAGGATAGCAAAACGGCAAAAATCCACGTCATCCCGACAAATAACACCGGCGCTACTACGAGACGGGGATAGGCGTGAAACTGGCATCAGCACGGTCAGCAGCACCAGACCAGAAACGAGTGTCACCAGCGTCACCACAGCCCCAGGACAAGTGTCACCAGCGTCACCACAGCCCCAGGACAAGTGTCACCAGCGTCACCACAGCTCCGGGACAAGTGTTACCAGCGTCACCACAGCCCCAGGACGAGTATGACCAGTGCCACCCCGGGCCTGGGATGGGGGTCACCAATGTCACCACAGCCCCAGGGATGGGTGGTCAAAGGCTTTTACAAAATCACGTTATCAATTATTACAAAAGGTCATGCCGAAGGTTTGCAGGAACGACGCCCGAGTTCTCAATAATTCAGCAGAGTTGGCTCCTCGCACCGACCTGAGCCACATCGTGCCATTCTAGGCCAATACCAAAGGTTGCATCCAAGCAAAGTGTCAACAGGACTTCTGCCCGACGGAACGTAGAAGGACCTCTTGCATGTCAACCGCCACCGTGACCACAGCAACAGTACAGCTTCACTCGGGTATGGATACATGTTACCCATACAGCTTACCCAGGACACGGGTACATCCCCCGACTTCCCAGTCACAACCACGGCCACCAGAAAGGGCCTTCGTCGCACGCACGCACTCACGCACGCACTCACACACACACGCACGCACGCACGCACGCACGCTCGCACACATCCGATGGCCCGGGACTGACCTCGGTCAGGTGGACCCAGCGCTCAGCGGAGACGCTGAGGCTCTGGAACTGCTTGTCCGCCACCACCTGCAAGCTGGGCACCACCATCTGCGCGGCGCCCAGCACCTCGCACGTGCGACACAGGCCGCCCAGATTGGGCGCGCGGTCCACCAGCGCGGCGGCCAGCACGAGCGCGCCGCCGCCGGCCGGCCGGTGCCGCAGCGCCGCCACCTCGGCCGCCTCCGGCAGCAGCTGGCGCCACGGCGTGGCCTTCCGTTGGACCTGCGAGCCGGCCGCCTCCTCCGCCGTCGGGTCCGTGGCGTCCCCTGGCGGCCGGGCAGCGTCAGTCATGCCACCTGGCGGCCGAGGAGCGACGGTGATGATGCAGACACTAGGGCGAGGCAATTCAACAGGCGAAGAAGTTGAACGGTCAAACCGTGCGTGTGCGTGCGCGTGTGCATGCGTGTGTGTGTGTGTGTGTGTGTGTGTGTGTGTGTGTGTGTGTGTGTGTGTGTGTGTGTGTGTGTGTGTGTGTGTGTGTGTGTGTGTGTGTGTGTGTGTGTGTGTGTGTGTGTGTGTGCGTGTGTGCGTGCGTGCGTGCGTGCGTGCGTGCGTGCGTGCGTGCGTGTGTGCGTGCGTGCGTGCGTGCGTGCGTGCGTGCGTGTGTTATTGGAGCCTTACGACGCACTCAGCTGCTGAGGCTATATGGCGTCGCCTGCCTCTCACCCTGGCAGGAAGGGCGGACACCGCGGGGTTTAACGCAGAGCGCTAACCAATACACCCACCGCATACGTGGCAGATACGTGAGAAACATCTTAAAACCAAAGACGTGCAAATTTTAATGTGGCTCGCATTTCATGTCAGTCATGAAATGCATTCAACGTCATTTATGCACGTTACAGCACACAACTTCCAATCAGGGGCCGTGAGATGATAATCGGACCGAATGGTGTTTAGGTTCCATTACCGCCACAAGTGACATGGATGACTTCGGATTACACAGGCCGGGCGTGGCCACGTCAATAACTTTACTCGTAAGCGTAAAATGTATCTCAATGTTGATATCAATCATATTGGAATACTTATATCGATCATAATTTAATGGCAATATGAATCATATTTCAATATAAACATCAATTACGTTTCTGGCAAGCCTAACTCGAAAAAATTAGGAAACAATCCGGCCGCATGGCCTATTTGTTCTACAGGGGTGGGATCGGTGCCCTCGCTAAACACAGCATGCCGCGTTGGGACGAAGCCCCACGCCATCCACACGTTAAAACTGTGGGATATTTTGGCCTCACAGAAGCAGCTGTGTCGGGGCCTTCTTTCGTGTTTCGAAAATACATCGCCTGAGGTGTTAATGGAAGTCACATAATGAATTTTCCGAGCCCACAGCGTTCGCATAGCTTGCACAGCTCGATGTGCAGCGAGACCGACACGCTAGCCTCTATGCCACAGGCACGGAGCACACGTCAACAGCTAACCCACGGAACAATACGCAACCTTCCAGTGCAGGCGTTCACATCAACATCGAAGACAAATATTCGGCCACTCGGGTGGCAAGAATGCCAATATTCGTCGTGCCACTGCTACCATGGTAGGGACCCCGGCTCAGGGTTCCCTGCCTGTCGCTCCTCCCTCGCCCAGGAATGGACACCCAGCACTAAGGCGGACGTCGGTCAACCCAGTGCGTACGCCTCAGGCCTGGTGAATCGGACCGGCGGGTAAAATTTCGCGTTCGGCAGGCAAGATTTTGTCGGGGTTCGCAAGCAAGACGGGCAACGGATTACATACCAACGAGACATCATGTATGACGGAGGCGCTCCTCCGCGCCTCCGTCATACACGTCACGTCCGGTGATCGCAATCTGTGATTGCATCCTCGACGCCCGATTAGACAAAGTTTGGAGCCCTGCGACGTAGCCGCTGCCAGCCTGAGATGGGGCATCCTCAAGCCGCCGTCATGTCAGTCCCCATTGCCAGCCTCAGGTACGGCTCCGCCACCCAGCCAACTTCGCCGCCCACGGGCGATGGTCGGCGGTAGAGGCCCTCGGGCCCGCCGGCGCGGACTCGCGGGCCGTGACCGGTGCCGCGGCCGGCTGACCTGGGCGCAGGTCGGCGGTGCGGGCCGTCCAGGCGGCGGGCCGGGCCGTCCGCAGGCCGGCGCAGAGGCGGCCGAGCCGCGGCAGGCCGGCCGTCGGCGCCGGATCCGCCACGTCGGCGGCGAACAGGCCGGGCGGCACCCACTCGTCCGGCTCGACTCCCGCCAGCCGCGGCAGGCTGAGGAAGATCACCTGTCGAGAGGGCACCTGGGTCAACACCAGTACACGCACCTGCCGGCGGGGGGGGGGGGGGGGGTCGAACGTGGGGTGAGGAGAATCAAATTTCCCATGGTAAAGTGGAGACGTGGAAGGCAAGTTCGGGTGGGACTGTCTCACTGACAATGAGACACATTGAGACAACACTGATATATGGCTGGAAAACCTGACCGAGCGGAAAGGTGAAATAAAACACTTTATGCCTAGGACAACTGCGGACCGCTCATGAAATCATCAACTAGGATGTCTGCAGTAGCCTAAAGACGCTGATATATACCATGACGCATCTCCATTTGGCTGCCAAATGCCGTGAAGTGTAAGCACCAAAACACCCCTCTAAGCGGTGCATCGTCCCCAGCCGCACTGCCCCCCGCGATGGCCCACTAGGATCCGTCGCTACCTCCAATGAGAAGTGCTGGACTGGATCGAACTCTGTGAAGTAAAAGTCGTTCTGGATCAGCTGCGAGTTCTTGTTGGCATTGCCGTGCCGCAGAGACTGGGCGACGCAGTCGTAGACGACGGCGAACTCGGACAAAATGGCGGCCATGCGCCGCTCGTTGGCCAGCGTCCACAGACGCTGCAGCGCCACCTGGACGGACATCAGCGTGCACTCATTGTCGCTGTCGTGAGGTCGCGGGAGGACGACAGCTTGTAAGACGTTCGACGCGACGCGACGGTGTCGTGAACGCGACGTCACACAAGTACAGACTGAGCAACGCCCGTAATCAATGAACCCACGGTTTGATGAGTAGCATTGCCATTTTATGACATTTTAAGCAAGGGATGAGCCCACAGCTCCGCTCAGCAGTGTTCCAAAACGTGTCCGGGATGTAAATATCAATTCATGCTACCAGAATCCTTTCCTCCAGCGGGCTCCGCACGCTATTCGTGCGCGATAATCTGATGCCCTGTGACGCGAAACCAGACAACGGACGCGCCGCGCCCATTTTCCATGCCTGAGGCGTTAGACGCTGGGTTGGTCGCCGCCCGGTTCCACAGCGAATGAGCTATTTTGACCGACAGAAAGTGATCCCCACGCCTAGGACGCAATAGCATGAAAATGATCGACATCGTTCTGCCAGCCAGGCGGTCGCATTTTGAAACACCGCCGCTCCAGTGCGGTCGCGCTCACCTGGGAGTACACCCTCGTGTTGAAGTGTTGCGCCATGCACCAGGGCAGGATGCGGCAGAAGCAGCGGCGCACGAACGTCTCGGCCGCGTCACCCTCGCCGCCGGTGCCGCACTGCGCCAGGTGCGTCAGGATGGCCACAAACGAGCTGATGCTGCCGGTGCGCTCCTGACCCGCCTGGTGACGCGGCAGCGCGGTCAGAGGACACCAGCACACGGCGCCCAGTCCAATAACAGACCTTACGATCCAATACAAAGCAATACGGGTGAAGTGATGTCCAAAACGCCGCTCGCCTCTCTCCGCTGTGCCGTCGGCGCTTCCACACAGCAGCAGCGTGGCTCACCTTCTCCAGGTGGGTCCAGACAAGCTCCAGCAACTCTGGGCGCCGCACGCACAAGCAAACCACCAGCCACTCCTGCATGTAGCGCACGCTGGGCTGCGGGTGACAGCGCAGCAGGCTCTCGCAGGTGGCTGCGCACAGCAGCTCCAGCTCCTCCTGGGGACAGTGGTCCCGGTCAGCGCGAGACGTCACAGTCCGCCTTCGGCGACGGGTGGACAAAGCCCGCTGGCTGCTCGCCGACAGCTGCCGCTGTTTCGGAACGGATGCGTATGAAACGCACCACGGAGACTGGAGATATAGACCAGACAGCAGCCCAGCGCACACGCGGTAATTGCGCCAGCGGAAGGGACGCATACCACACGAAGTCGTTAACAACCATGGCCACATGCAATGCAAGCTGGGAACACTCACGGCCACACAATATCACGCACATTATTCCAGATGCGACCATGGTGTAGAAACCAGTACACCACATCCGACAGAACAGAGCGGCGACCTCCCCCCCCCCCCCCCCTCTCCTCCGCTGCGCGTCCACTGACCGGCGGCAGCGCGGTGTGCAGCACCAGCAGAGCTTGGTAGCAGCGCTGCTGGAGCCGGTGGCTGGCCGAGTTCGCGAAGTGCCGGCCCTGGCCGGCACCCTCGGCCGTCGCGCGCAGCTCGGCCGCCAGTCGCGCCGTCGCCTCTGGCGGCCCGGCGCGAGCCAGCTGACGCAGCGCGCGAACCCCGCCGGCGCGCACGGCCCTGTCCACCAGGTGGTCGGCGGCCGGGGAGGCGCGCGGCCCCAGCACGAACCCCACGGCGTCCTGCAAGGCGCGCCGGTCACGCCGGTGAACAGGGCCGTGCGTGAGGGCAGCGGCGACGACCGGCAGGTGGCGCGGCAGGCTGGAGGCGTCGGCCGCCCACACGTCTGTGAGGCGGGTGATCAGCGCCGCCAGCGCCGCCGGGACCGCCTCGGCCAGCTCCAGCAGCCGGCCAGCCCAGGCATGCAGGCGGCCAGTTAGCGCCGCGTCCGCCAGCGTCTCTGGCGTAAACAGCAGCCGCGCGAGTCCGCTCAGCGCCAGCGCGAACACCTCGCTGCGGCGGTGCTCAAACAGCGCGCTCCAGGCGGCTTCGGCGGCCTCCTCCAGCAGGTCCGGGCCGGCGCCGGACAGCAGTGGCTGGAGGCAGTCAAGGAGCGGCAGGAGCGCGCGCCGCGGACACACGGACAGCGCGCCGACGGCGGCCGGTGCCACCTCGCGATGAGCGGCGGCGGAGAGAAGACCGCTGGAGAGGAGGCGCGCCGTCAGTCGCCAGGCGGCCTCCAGGTGGAGCGCGGAGAGCGGGGTTTGGCTGGCGGCGGCCCCCGGACAGGCGGCAAGCGCGCCCGGCACGCTGTCCTGTCGCGCCAGCGCCGCCAGGCGGGTCAGCGGGCCGTCCAGGTCGGCCTTCGTTAACGCGGTCGAAGACAGGCGCGGGCTGCCCAGCAGTGCGGACAGTATGACGGTCACGGCGTGGACACGCAGCGGGTGCCCGCCATTCGTTACCTCGCACAGACGACGGGCGACGGTGGTGACGTCACGGGTCAGGTGGGCAGCCGCGGCGGCCCCGAGAAACTCGGCGTAGAACGGAACCATCTCGAGATCCTCGGCGGTCGTGGTGGCCTGCACCTGCCGCACGATAAACTCGCCCACACTCGGCGTCACCTCTTCCAGAGTCCGACGAAGGGCGAGAGGCATGTCGACCGCGGCTGGGTCGACCAGCGCGGCCAGCAGCGCCGCGTCGCTGACCACGGCCGGCCGGGAGCGGTACAGGTCACTGTGACAGTCGGCGAGCGTGGCCCGCAGCCTGCCAAGCGCCGGGTGCCCCTCCTCCAGTGGGAGGAGCTCCGCCAGCAGGCGCAACGCGCCGCCCAGCAGCCGGCCGCGCTCCGGGCCGCGCCCGGCCGCCAGCGCCGCTGTCACCTCCGCACACACCGAGTCAGCGTCCAGCGCGGCCAGGCCGGTCACAGGCCGACGGCGGCGGCGCCTCGGCCACGCGGGCCGCCGTCATCAGACACTCGAGTGCCGGCACGTCGGGGCGCAACCAGCCGACCGCTACGCCGAGCAGGAGGCGGCGAGAGGCGCGGCGCAGCGTCGGCTCCTGCGCCTCCAGCCGCTCCGACAGCAGGCGGCAGAGGCCCGTAGCGGAGGCGGCGTCCAGGCAGCGCTCCACGGGCGCCGCGGCCAGCGCGTGTGCCACGTACAGCAGCGCCACCGACGACCACGAGAGGTCGGTGAGCGCGCCGACCAGACCGGCGGCGCGGCGCGCCAGGCGGGGGCCGTGCAGATACACGGCGAGGAAGGCGCGCAGTCGGCGGCCACACTCGGTCGGCGGCGCCAGCTCGTCGCACAGGTACGGCTCTTCGCCTCCGCCGGTCGCGTCCCAAGCGGACGCCACGTTCGACACGTCCACGTCCGCGTAGAGCGCGGCGTCATTGAGCGCCGGCAGCAGCGCAGCGGTGACGAACTCCTCCGCCTCGTCCGCGGGCGCCAACTCGAGCGCGCGCAGCACCGCCCAGCGCACGACGAAGCCGTTGCTATGGTTGAAGGCACGGCGCAGCACGCACAAGCTCCAGAACAGAGGCACGACGTCGCTGGCGGCCAGCAGCGGCTCCAACTTGCGCAGGGCCGGCCGCACCAGGTGCACCTGCTTCTCCTCCAGGGTCTCTAACAGCAGCGCCAGGTCCTCCCAGAGGGGGTCGGCGCGGGCGGCGTCGGCTGCCCGCCACGGCATGCGGCGGCAGGCCACGTCCCCGCCGGCGCGGCGGCTCGCCTCCACGGCGCGCTGCAACAGGTAGCGGCTGCGCTTGCGCAGCAGGGGATCGCCGGCGGCCAGACCACACCCGATGAGCTCCCAGAGCGCGTCCGGCGGCGCCGACAGCAGGTGGTCTGCCAGCGCGCAGGCGGCCGTTAGGCAGCGCGCCAGGTCGGCGGGCCGCGCCGGCCGCAGCAGCGCCGCCAGGCGGCCGCCGAGCGCCGCGGACGAACGCGGCGCGGCCGACCAGCAGCGGCGCCAGCGTGGCGGCTCCCGCCTGACTGGCGACTGCCCGCTCGCTGGCGATGAGGCCGCACAGCGCCGTGGCGAGGGCGGGCAGGTGCGGTTGCAGGGCGGCGTCGGAGAGCGAAGACACGGCGGCCGCCGCCACGCGCGTCACGCAGCGCAGGCCGCGGGCCCACGACTCCGGAGTCTGGGATGCGTCGCCGCCGACGAAGACTTCGGACAGGGTGGAGACAGCTGCCTCAAGCAGGTCACACTTCACCTTATCACTGTTGGAGAGTGGCAGGCACTTGACCATGACTGAAATGGTGCACTCAGTGACCACTTGAGTGGTGTACTGACCATCCATCTTCTTAATACTGTGGAACACAGTCATGATCTGTGGGGTACACAATTCAGTGAGCATCTTGTTTATGTGTTCCTGATCAATCTCTTGCATCTTGATAACATCCAGCAAGTATTCAGTGCTGATGATCACTGCACCTTGGTCATTAGAGTTATCATCACTTGAAAAATATAACTCCAAAAGGTTTTTGAGTGTTTCAGACCAGGATTTATTACTATGCAGGCAGAGGACACGAGCCAGTGCAGGGCTATAATCTGTTTCCATGGTGGCAGATATCAGTCCTTGAATGAACCTGCAATGCATAGAGGATCTTAGTAATGCCTGTAAGGTATTACCAACTTAACAGGTAGGGTGGAGACCATTTCAAAGAGGTTCAATCCATATGATTGGATACACATATGTAGCACAAAATTTGCATCTTATTGCACATTCTGCCTCATAATAGGGGTGGCACCCCAGATTTTGAGTTGTTTGGGTGGGATTTTCAAGGGGCCTGCTGTACAAAATGGGACCTCTTCACAAGTGAGCTTCCTGGGTATTAAAAATGGATGCCGAGTGCATATCCTCCTTTATCAAATAGCTACATGCATCATATCTAAGAAAATTAATGCTGGCAGCACCCAAAATAGAATGAGGGCCTTTCAATCATCTAGCATTGACACTGGTGACCTACATCAGGGTCTCCTGATTCATACAGGGCTCTTCTAATCCCGAACATTACACCTTTGAGTAACAAACAGGGCCTACAAATCTAGCCAACTAGCCAGGGAGCCCCATTATTACAAAATGGGGCATTCCAATTCAGCACAACAACCTGAAGCAAGAAGGGAGCACCCTGAATATAGAGGGTCCCCCTATGTCTGAACTCAGTCACAGGAGCCTCCACAGTTTGAGTTTTGACAATCTTCAGATAGTTTTAATGTCTTCAGTTTAGGAAAGGACCTACTCCAGAATTTGGGATATGTACAAATATACTCTTGACCATTATGCCCCCTCCCCCAGCCGAGCTAGCCCTGCATGCTGACCTAATGGAATGTGTGAACCAAATGAACCGAGTAAAGCACAATTATGTCCATACATAGTACACTGTGTCCTGATAATAACTGGGTGGGTAATATGCAAGAATAAAGATATGAAAAACTGCAACACTGAAAAGCACACTATGTGCCTTGAGGCATGCTATGAAGGACATGAGCAGCTGGGCAAAGGTTTAGGGTGTGGTGATATTGAGGCTGATGCACATTCACACTCCCATGTAGTTTATATATTTGCATGCATGTAGTATTTGTATTTGTGTACTCAGCTTGGTATTTAACTATACAAGTATCAGGCAACAAACTTTTCTACATTCTTTTGGAATCAAGTACTGGATGCAGATCTGGACAAGTCATTTGATGAAGGAATTTTTAACTGAATACATATATGCATATACTCTCAACAAAATAGGACTTCTGCACTAGTAACATGCCAAATAAAAGAAAGCCGGTATTTCAGCTTCACAATACCCTAATGATTGTACCGTTCACATGCAAGCACCATATTCAACTTAAAGCACCAAAAGAATACAAATTTCCGGCTATAACACTGCATTTATTGCAACTGCACATATACCATCTCACATAGATCAACGCTATTAATTCACTCATAATTCGAAGAAAAACTACCTAAGCTGGCCAGTTCTTCCGCATGCCGTATATGTCCCAGATGCGTCGTAAGTAGCTCACGGCTTGATTTGGTAGCCGTGCATCGACAGCAAAGGAAAAACCCTAAATGTATATCTCAGGGATTGAGTGCCGCTCTCATTTGAGGCTGCATCCTGAATATAGGGAGTGCCTTCGAATCTAGACCAGGGCCTCCTGCTCTCTAAAGGGGACCTCCCGAGCCAGCAAAGGCGCCTGCTCAACACGATATTTGTCTCACTGATCTAGAGCAATGGGCTTCCTTATTCATAAACGTGGTCTAACGGTCCTGAAGCGGGCCTCGTGATTTAGAAAAGGGTCTTCTGAACCCAACATATTGCCCACCAGCTCAGTTTTAGGACCCCCTTAAGCCGAATGTAGGTAACCTACGGGTAGTTGCAATGCATTTGCTATGGGTAAAGGGGCGTCCACCTTTTTGGGGAGGGGTGGGGCACTACCATAACCTTGCTTTCACTCTCACCCCCGCTGGCAAGCAGGGAGCACTTGCCCCTCTGTCCCCTTCTGCACCGCCTCTGCTGTCCGTAAGTCTAGTTGTCTGTTCATCTTGTTTTGCCTGCTGACTTTCCACAGGTTTAACAGAGGGCCTGAAATTTACACGGTACGCTTGTACGAACGTACATGCGTGTTGACGACTAGGTACGGGGATTGCCAAACCCCTTGCGCTGATAAGAAGATCCATTTTTTGAGCCGATAGGCTTACCATAGCCGTATAAGTAGTGAAACAAGCTTCAACCAGAAGTCAAGCCTTCGAAACGATATTCCATTTGCCGGGCGCACGGTGATAAATCTCGAGATCTCATCAGTAGGAGGACGCCAGTAGCACAGGCAGGAGGAACCACAGGGAGCACGTGCCCCCCTTAGGCTCCGAGAGACCCGGAGGGCCCCTCGAAGCACACGATTAAGGTGCCAATCTGAGGGCCCGAAGGACTGAAAAGATCGGCTGGGAGTCCCATTCAGGGGCCCCAGCTCGCAAAGCCGGGCAATCCAATGCTAGTCAGAGGACCCTGTGTGCTGATCAGGAGCCAACTGAGTCGATAAGGGCCTATAGTACGGCCAGACACCATCAGTAACGCACAGTCGGCTATGTGGCAACATGGTTCTGAGGACCATTTCCCAAGCAGGGACAAAGCCGGAGTCAGCGATTTACTTTGCTCGGGGCCCGACAACGCCTTACAGGGGTCCTGTGTTGTCAAGGGGCCCCGAGTCAGCCAGAGGCAGTGTTCAAGGACGCCTGGAGGGCAAAGGGGGCCCATAGGTCCGACGATCAAGGGCCCGATTGGGGGGTCTAAAGGTATAAAGGGCTGGTTGGAGTCTTATTCAGGGACCCAGACCTGCGGAGACGGACCCTCAGATAACGGTCAGACGGCCCTTTGTACCGATCAGAGACCCCTGAGCCGATATGGGCCTATATATTGGTCGCATACCACCGTGCCACATAGCCGGCTCCGTGTCTTTATGGACCTGAGGACCCACTTCCTAAACAGCTATAAAGCCAGGGCCAGTGATTTACCCTGGTCGGGGCCTTGTACTGCGAGGGACCCACAGCGCCTAACAGAGGGTCCTGTGTTCGCAAGGGCTCCGAGCCGACCAGGGGAAGTGCTCGATGAGGTGCGAAGCGGGGCCCGGGCGGCCCACCGGAACCGATGATCAAAAGCCCAGTTGGAGGGCATATGGACCCGAAGGACTGTCTGTACGTCACACAAAAAATCGCAGCCCGTAAGGTCGTAACCTGAAATATCAGTCAGAGATCCTTTTGCATCGTTTGAGGAGACCCTGAAACGATGCAGGTGTCTAAGTCGGTCGAAGACCACGACCACCGAACAGTCAGCTTTATGTTCGTCTTAGTCCTTGAGATCCATTTCCAAAGCAGAAAGGAGGCCGGGGTCCGCGATTTTCAATGCTCGGGGTCCCTGACACAACGAAGGGCGCCTGTGTCGGTTAGGGGCCACAGTGTCGAACAGGGTCCTGTGGCGGCAAGTGACCTCGAGTCAGAGCAGTGTTGGAGGGGGCCCAAAGAGGGGCCGAAGCCTCTCCCGAGACCACAGATCAAGGGCACGATTGGATGATTGGAGGGTCCGAAGGGCTGACTGTACGTCACATTCAGGACCCTCGCCCTCAAAGTCAGTACGAGACGCCACTTCGGCTGGATTGCTTGCATTCCAGTAAGGGACATCCCTTTAGGTTGGACATCACACCGGCCAAAACGGCACAAACGTGGCACTTGTGCACGCATGTGACACATGGTGACATGCACCAACCGCGCTATCCCATCGAAGATTGAAGATGCCATAGCACAAGCGGTCTCGGTGGCTGGCGGCCGGCCGGTCGATAATTGTCAAGTCAAACAACGGACCTCTTGGGAAATTCGGTTTTAACGCCACAAAAACTTAAGCAGACCTAGCGCGTGTGCATGCGTGATTAAATAGCAGAACCGTAACGACCGTATGATCGCCTTCGAGTCCGTTCTCAAGCATTAGGAGGCGCCACTTCGTTGAATTGCTCCAGCTTCAGTAAGGGACTTCCCTTCAGGGAAGCCTTCAGAACGGCCAAAATGGCGCACACATGGCACGTTCGTGCGCAAGTGACACATGGAAGCATGTGTCAACCATGCCATTGCATGGGGACTGAAGATGCCATGGTACGAACGGTCTCGGTGGCTGGCGGCCGGCCGGTCGAAAATTGCCAAGCCC